TACCATTGAACATTTTTTTTTTGTAAGGGAGTGATTAAAGAGCCTTTCCAATCAATAAAAAGTACTGTTTAGATGGGAAAATAGATGGTGGGTCGGGTGTCCGGACACTTCAGAAACATAACCATTGACTATATCACCCTTTAAATAATTTCGGAATGGACCATGCATCGCATGCATCGATCTAGTTCCAGTCAGCTAGTGTCCACATTTTATATCTGTGTCCGAGCTCTAGCACCTTGTTATTAGTTTCATGAAACGGATTTTCACTTCTATAACAGATTGTCATAGTCGTAATTAGATTTGTTATAGATATAGATATCGAATTTGTTATAGTCAGTCAAATGGTTTATGAAACGGGCCCAGATGGATGTCGGTATTTCCACAGCAAAACGTCCTTTGATTAACTTACTCTTTCACATTGATGTATAATTCATATGTATTGTAATTTGTAAGTTTATTTGATTTTGTTTGTTTTGTTTGATATGTAATTGTTTATCATTGTATTTGTGTTTGTCTAGCACTTAGAGATTTCGATGGTAAGCGCTTTATAAGCACCGTATTTATTAATATCATTATTACCTTTGAACTACCATTCATCATACAGACTGTGCACTAAAACACCATTTACCAGTCACTACCATTTACCATTAAGTAATTACCATTAAAAAAACATTTGAAATTTAGTCACTACCATCGAAGTACATGTACCAATTATCATTTCATTACCATACCATTGAAACACCATTTACCAAAGACATAATGTACCACTGTATAAACACCTTTCACCATTTAGTCAGTATACCATACCATAAATTCAAATTCAAATTCAATTTATTTCCACTTTAAAAAAACATTTACAAATCAATAATGTATACATATAAATAAAAGTGGCAGGGTCTTAAAAAGCACTAAATTGGCTCGTTGAAAGTGACCCCATAACAAATACCAAGAAAATACATAACATATTTACATTGTAAGAAAAATATCAAAAAATTATTACAGAAAAAAACTGAACAAAAACATAACAAAAACATTAAAATTTAAATTTAAAAAAAAACATAAGGAAGAAAAGATAGGAAACATCAACAAAATATTCATCATTTATGAGTTCAGGAGGTGTTGTTTAACTAATCGTTTAAACTGCTTTACGGTCTTACTATTTTTAGATGAGTTGGGAGGTTATTCCAAATAATTGGACCATTGTGAAGAAATCGAATTCTGAGTATTTGATATGCGGTTTAAAGGAAAGTGGATAATTTGAGCATTTCTAGTATTGTAATTATGAATGGAACAATTCAAAGTAATATAATCATCATACATCTTAGGAAGAAGTTAATTAGACAGATGAAACATGAAAATTGTAGTATTTAAGGTTAGTAAATCATGGATAGGTAGGATTTGCATTTTTTAAATAATGATAGAGTGTGAGATAGATAAAAAAATTAAATTAAAAAAAAGGGTGTGTAATAAGGCGATCCCACGTTTCTGTAATTTATAATTCGTTCAATATTTCTTTTAGAAGTGAAAAGCCTAACAATATTACAATAATCAAAATGGGAAGAAATGAGGGCATGATATAACATTTTCAAAACAGTGTGAGGTAAGAAATTCTAACAATATTACATAATCAAAATGGGAAGAAATGAGGGCATGATCTAACATTTTCAAAACATTCTGAGGTAAGAAATTCAATCTGAATAAAACACCAATATTTTTAGATAAAATGTTACAAAGATGATTTATATGGTGGTTCAGAAAGTTTTTCATTTACAACTACTCCTAAAAATGTTGTACTTGACACCCGAGTTATCTTTTTTATTTGAATAGAACAAATTTAATTCCATTGGAATTTCGGTTTTAGTTCCAAACATTTATCTAATTAGTTTTATTAGTATTTTATATTAACTCATTGAATTTCATCCACATACTTAAATTCGTCCCTATTTTCACGAAGTGTGTGAACCTAATACCGTAATATTTCAAATTTTAATAAAATAGAATGATTTATAAGCTGCTTTAATTAACAATAACAGGCTGTTCCACTATTCATGTAAGCAAATGTATAACAATATACATCACATATTTATATGAGTGGGACCACAAGCACAAAGGAGCAGTTATTCACGGTAAAGAGATACATATCAGATCCAAAATCATCACCAAAAACACCATCCACCATCATATACACTACCATTGAAACACCATTCACCATACAGAATCCACCATTGGCACACCATTGAAATACCATTTACCATTGACGCTACCATTCAAACACCATACATTTACCATTAGGTTTTTTTGTAACGGTTGACACCGGATAAAACTAAGGAGGCATACTAACAGAACACTTCTCATGACTTTCATTGATAATCAAATTTGACATTCCTTTCAGTTTTCTGAACAGTACTTATGACCTCCATGTATAACAAATTTGACATCACTTTCAGTTTTCTGAACAGTACTTATGACCTCCATGTATAGAAAGTTTGACATCACTTTCAGTTTTCTGAACAGTACTTATGACCTCCATTTATAATAAAATTTGACATCACTTTCAGTTTTCATCGTACTGAAGAGTGAAAATCATTTTCGACCGTGTTTATTTGATATCATCAAAATATGGCTCTCATTCGATAGTCTTTTGTTTTAGCACACTTGCTAACATCATTACAAATGACAGATCATGCACAATAGCAACAACTGAACGCTTACGCAACACTGTCTAATTCCATCGTTGATTTCATGTGTATTTTACCTACAGTGTTTATGCACGTATACTCATGGATTCCACTCTATGTCATGTTTTGTTTCACACTGGTTATTGAGTTTTCCCCAGCTTTCGCTCGACTCGCTTTTGGAGTCCACATACGAGAGAAGATATCCACCAAGGTCTACATCTTGCCCCGCTGAGAACGTTTGGTAATTATTTTTTTTGTCGATGTATTTATGTTTATTCGATGTGTTGTTGCGAAATGAATCAGCCGGTGCTGCCGTTTCACGTATTATAAAAATTTCAGTAGTAAAAGCTTGGAGCTGGTTCTGGTTATGCTTCTGGAGAATTTGTAAGAAGCATTGAGTTCACTAATGATATTTCCATAGGTACTCATCCTAGATGTGTTGTATACATGGCCAAACTGATACAAAACACGAAATACCCCTCTCTCCCTCAAATCCTCTCGTGTCCCTCCTCTCTCTCTTTCTTTCTCGTGTTCTATCTCTCTCTAGCCATCTCTCTGTCTATCTTCCCCTCCCCTTCTCTCTCTCTATATATATCTCTCTCTCCCTTTGTCTATTTTAATCTCTCCCTCTCTTTTCCTCCCACTTACCTTCTCGTTAAAGACTAATATCTCTTTCCAACAAATTCCAAATCATCAAAGGGACCGGAGAGCATGACACATCAACACGAGCAAATTCATAATTTTGTTTAAGTATTATTATCATTATATTAATAACGATAAGCATATATTTTGTGCTAATGTATTCCAATGAAGTAACAAAATATCAGGACCATTGTTTGGTGACACAAGTTTATTATCAATGAAATAATACTGATGCAAGAATTGATGTTTAATTCCTTCGTTTAGATTATGATAAAAGTGTTAAGGCAAGCATGATATTTTGCATAACTATCACCCTGCGCCTTTTTTGTCTGTGCCGGAGTAAAACAATAATGCGTGCGACGTGATTATCATACCATGGACCAGTATTTGTTTTCTCATTTCTTTCTTTACATACCTAAATACTTAATTCTCTTCTACTCATTATCGATCGGCTAATATTTTCAATTGCTATCGTCAAAACAAAATGCATTAACGTTTTCTACAAATCTTGTTTACCCTTTCGACATCGAAATGCTGCATAATATAACACGAAAACTTAAAACAACTTATGCATGTTTAGCATTCTATCCAATTACCCTCTTTCTCTCTCTCTCTCTCTCTCTCTCTCCCTTCATGTCTCTCTTTCTCTCCCTCTATCTCTCATTCTCTTCCTTGCTCTCTTTCTTTCTCTCTCTCTCTCTCTCTCTCTTTCTATCTATATTTCTTTCTCTCTCTCTCTCTCAGAAATCACAAAATGGTCTTGAATATGATAAATTCAAGATTATATACTCATAACCAAAACATGTCGATATCAATGCACGTTTTCGTATAATTTGATCTATTAAATACGTATAATTATATTTTATCCTAAAGCTCCTTTGAAACATGTTTTGTACAATATTTTTGAAAAGATTGTGTTTATTTACACTAGTTTAGTACTTAAAGTCTTGGATTGATATAGCAATACTGTTGATTATAAGTTAAAAGTATACCACACATCGATTACGCCATGCACCCGGCTATACAGGTTAGTAAGAAGGAGGGTTTAAAAAAATCAATTGTTATTATCATCGCCTGCTTGTTCAATTTCACTCTTTATAACCAAGATCTTCTCCGATAGTCATATTTCATTTTTTTTGTTACAGCGATACTCCATGATCCCTGTCACATATTATTTCGTCACGCATTCGACTTTTAATCAAATCGCGTGATCCCCTGCATAGTATTATTCAATTTATGACATTCCAGAGCCACAATATGACTAAAATATAGAATATACGATTTTCGCATTGGTGACCTGTAAGAGCAGTGATCAAATTTAGATGTCTAATATGTGCATTAATATTTATTTTTCATCTGTCTTTCTTCTCTTAATGTAGAGAGATTAAAATGTGTGTTGAATTATTTATATTTTAATCTAAAGCGATATGTAAACGGAACGATTTTATTCCACCCTTTCAATTTTAGTCGTAAACGTGAAATATGAAAGGGAAAATGATATGTATAAGCCTACTCAGTGGCGGATCCAGGATTTGCCGATAGGGGGGCTTAAAATTTGAAATTCGCGCCGACAAATAGTGCGCTCATGAGGGGTGGAGGGGGGGGGGTAGTGATCACTGTATAAAAAGGCCAGGGGCCGGGCCCGTCCCCCCCCCCCCACCCCCGTGGACCCGCGCCTGAGCCTACTTGTAGGCCAACTGGTTGAACTGGTATGTCGTTTTACATGTAAACAATAAACAAAACAAAAAATAATTTTCTCTTAAAGAAATCTTTAGAAGTTAATTTTAAATATACACATATGATCAGAAATTTAGATGTTATTATCAACAATAAATGGAAATAAATTTCTGTTATTTTTTTCCTTTTCCTCATATCACTTCTCTCGTCGGCTCTTTTTCCTCTTGTCAATTACAGCATAATCTTCTTCCGGGTCATTGTAAGCCTGTAAACAATACAATAGAAATATAAAATTAGAACTATTAATTAAATCAATTGCTGCATTCCGAATTTCTATTCACTCTTTTATCTTTCAATTTCAAAGTGCGTTTAAAGGCTCAGGTGTCAAATATGTTTAGTTTGATACAGAGTAGCCAGTATCCAGTTTATTAAAGGTGACACCTATTCGTATCCTGTCATCGAGTAAGGATTTAGATGCTCAGACACCATCGGGGGGGACCAAAGCCATCCTCGAAATCGAGATTGACCTGAAACAAACCCCGTTAAAGCCCAACTGCACTACTTATAGGTACTTGCGCCCTCTATATAGCAAACAATGCCTACGCGGTGACCGTTGGTCCCTCATGGTCCCCCGTGGTCCCCTTTTTCTTATCTTAATTGAGAGTCAATTTGATGAGATAACCACCTGTCAGTGACCATGCAGGGAGGTCTGATCCCTCATGGCCAAAAAATTGCAGATAGGCTGTTATACTTTATAAAATATTCCTTTACCACTTCGTATTTATCTTTCATTTTTTTCACCGTTTAGAGTAAAAGATTGTTCTATACTGGCGTTAAAAAGGTTGTCATGGAGGTTATCAAGAGCGAAAATTGGTAATTTGCAAAATCACTGTTTTATCAACGCCGAACCTGCTGTCATAGTAGTGCCTATTATTTTGTGCAAAATTGCTTTTGTGCCAAAGGACCTACCGTGTAGAGAGGGCAAAAAACACCGAAGTAAAGTGTTCAAGTTGCCTGCGAGTGAGTTATTTTTAGAAACAAATACTTTTCATCTATATATATGTTTCTCTTTCATGCAATTGCATTATGTCGAGTGGTATCCTTAAATCAAGATTTTATTCAAGATGACCGCTCGTACCAAAATAAAAATAAATTCAATGTCGTACATAAGTACAGTCATGTTAAAAGAAGGAAAACGTTTCGGACTGCCATCTAACGTAGACAAAAAAAACCTGATTTTCTAGACTAGAGCTTACCATATTCCTTTGGTGAGCTCTTGGTTGACCTTTCTTTCTCTCTTCTTTAGTTGTGTCTACAACTGCATACTCGGCCTTCAGTATTAGATTACCAAAGAAAATATGAAACGTGATCAGTTTCGTAAAAGAATATGTGAATAATTAAAACTAAATAAAACTATATCTCGAGTATCTGAAGACTTTCATTACGTATCAAACACACGTGAATGCCCCTGGCACTTAACAAAACTAACTAAACTAGACATTTCAACAACATCTGAACATCATGGCAACTGCAGAAACACAGACAAACTATTACAAAACTTCTTAATAAAAAATCTATTATATTCACATGATACAGGATTATTTTCTCTTTAAAACAATTTAACATCTTACGCAGGGAAAATCTCGTTATATAAAATATAACTTCAAATTACGCAATTCACAGTTTGAAACAAACTTCCTTTGCGTTCTAAAAGGCGTCTTTCCAAATTACAATTAATATCACACTAGAAACATGTGATGCTGGGATTTGTTGTAATTTCTTGTTTCTGTCATAATTTTTTTTACACATATCAGATGAATATAAGATATTACATAACTTACTGTTATTACATTAAAACATAGATTTGTGTTAACAACTTATTTGATTAATTGGATTTTAGTTCCTTGATTTTCTGGTCTTGTTATACTCTAAATCGTCATAGGAGATTATAAATACTACAGTTACCAGTCCCTTTGCTGATGCAGTGTACACGTGTGGTACATTTCCTCTTCTCCCTATCTCCTTTCTTAGTGACTGTTCTGGTTGTACAACATCTCCAGTCTGTTTCGATATGACATAAAAGGGTTAAGATAATACATACTGGTATTTAGATTGATCGTATAGCCCCTTGGGAAAATATAACCCCCTTCGGCAGTCCAAAGAATGTTATATTACACACCCTACCAGCCAATATCTGTAGTATAGCAGCCACTTCCCGGCCTCCCATATGGTTTTACTCCCTAAAATCAATACTGCTTCTTAGTGCAGATTTCTATTTCGGTAAATAAAAGTGTAGATTTTAATATTGTTTTCTTCTTAATAAAACCTCTTGCACTAAGCTATTATGAAGAAATCTTATTTTTGTTATGACATATCACAGCAACTGAATGTAGATTAATTCAATTAAAATAATTATATTTCCATAACTCAATCAAAACATGAACAAATGCTAAATGACATAAATTTCGAGTTATAAGGGAAAACTGGCTCTTGAAAAACCGTGTGTTTGAATGTGTTTGGTTAAGTGTGGGTATTGTAGGTTTATAAGGTTTAGTCTTTATCAAAAGAAAATGTTTTGATTATTAATACCTGAACGGAAGATGAACCAGGATTTGAGGAAATGTTACGTTGCTTATCGACTGTAGCATACTCCACTGACGGATCCAGAGGCCCTCTCTACGAAATGAATAAAATATGTTATGATGCGAGACCTCATCGTCTTCTGGTTTGAAGTACACTATTAAATATGTATTTCTGTTTTTGTCGGTGTTAAAATTCCTCAAACTATTAAGAAATGTTCTTACTTGCAGTAAAATAACCCGGTATAATGTTTTATGATATCGCCGAGTATGTACGTCAAAGTCCTTCATATTTTTGGAAATAAAGTACGAACTAAATATCATGGGGATCATCTCCTGGCCGTGATTTTCTCTCAAATACCTACACTTTTAACACAATATTGATACAGATAATTGCCATAATCTTACAAAATAAGGAACTCTTAATATTCAGATGGCTAGAATAATTCCAGTAGCGCATACAGGAGTAATGGGGGGTAGATAGTCAGCTTCAATGGTGGTCAAAAAGTTCGTATATCCATTGTGGGGTGAATTTTGATATTTTTCTTAAATGGCGTTCACAATCAATTTTGATAGAAATGCACGTTTTGCATTCGTATTCTATTAATGATTTCGTATCCGTTGCTCCAAACACTCAATACCATATTGTGTTGAGCAGTCACGTCTGTAACTCGCTCGTTGACTGTGGCATAGTCCAAAGACACATCGAGGAGACCAAGCTGCAATAAGAAGAAGATGAGTGTGTTATTGAATGGGTGTTAGAACTAAATGATAATGCTATTTAGATGTCATGTGTCATCTTTTTGCTACCAGTAGTTTTTCTATTTATTTTTGTTACTGTTTCTTCTTAACTATCAACAGTGTTAAATGAAGCCAATGCTCATCTTTCCCTCTCTCTGATGTAGGTTAAAAAAGGCGAGAGTACAGAGAGAGAGAGAGAGAGAGTGGATAAGTTTTGATAAGTAAATATAAATATATATGTATATATATATATATATATATATATATATATATATATATATATTATATGCATGTATGTATGTGTGTAAGGGGGTACTATGTGTGTGTGTAAATAACCAGTAATGTAATTCATATAGTATATGAATGACCTCCAATTACGGACAAACTGGCTCTTGAAAGAAAGATTGCGACGAAGGTGTAAGTGTGTGCATTGTGGGTTTCCTGTAAATAGAGAGTATCTATTAGGTATAGGATATATAAAAAAAAAACACAATATATTGCCTATTTATACCTGAGCAGATGATGAAACAAGATTTGAAGACACGTTGCATTGTTTATTGACTGTAGCATACTCCACTGACGGATCCAGAGGCCCTCTCTACAGAATTAATAAAGTATGGTATGATGTGAAACTCCATCGTCTTCTGGTTTAATGTACACAATCAAAAACAATATCTATTTCTGCCATTTTAGACTAAGATTCCGCAGTTCACTACTTGCATTCAAATAGCACAGCCAAGTACGTTATTATATGGCCAAGTAAGTATTTGCCAATGTCCGTCATACTTTAGGGAATAAACTACGAACTAAATATACTGTTGGCTAATCCCCTGGCCGTGATATTCTCTTACATCCCTACATTAGTATCACAATATTGATACAGATTATTGCCATATATATATAACAAAATAAGGAACACTTAATATTCAGATGGCTAGAGTAACTCCAGCTGCGTATACAGGAGTATTTCCTATTCGAGCAGGGTAACAAGAGGTACATAGTCAGTTTCAATTGTGGTCACACAGTACTAGTTTCCACTTTGGGGTACATTGTAATATTTTTCTTAAATGTTAGTCACAATGAATTGTTATAGAAATACACATGTCATATTCGTATTCTAATATTGATTGTGTATTCGTTGTTTCAAGCATTCAATACCATATTCTGTTGAGCAGTCATGTCTGTAACTCGCTCGCTGACTGTGGCATAGTCCAAAGACACATCGAGGAGACCAAGCTGTGATAAGAAGAAGATAAGTGTGTTATTGAATGGGTGTTAGAACTAAATGCTAACGCTATGCAGTTGCCATGAGATCTCTTTTTGTAATATGTAGTTTGTCTGTTTATTTGTTGCTCTTTTTCTTCATTTTCAACGGTGTTTTATTAAGTATATGTTAATTTTCCCTCCCTCTTTGATGGAGAGAGAAATGGTGAGAGGCAGAGAGAGAGAGAGAAAAAAATCGATAAGTTTTGATAAGTAAATAAAAATATTTGTGTATATATCTATATATGTATATGTATATCTATATCTATTCATATATAGTATATGCATGTATGAATGTACTGTAATTATGTAAGGGGTTATTATGTGTGTGTATTGTGTAAATAACCAGTGATGTAATTTCTACATAATATTAAAGATCTCTAAATAAGAAAAAACTGTCTCTTGAAATTGTGGGCATAGTGGGTGTACCTGTTTGAGAGTTTCTAAGGTATAGGCTTTATCAAAAGAAAATACATTGCCTGTTAATACCTGAGCAGAAGATGTACCAACATATGAAGAAATGTCGCGTTGCTCATTGACTGTGGCATAATCCACTGACGGATCCAGAGGCCCTTTCTACATAGTGAACAAAACATGGTATGATGTGAGACCCTATATTCTGATTTAAAGTACATTTCTCAAAGCAATATGTATTTCTATTTTTGTGGGTGTCTAAAATGCCTCAAAGTATTCAAAAATTGTCCTACTTGCATTCAAATAACCAGGTATAATTTCTTATGATCAGGCCGAGTATGTATGTCAAAGTCCTTCATACTTTTGGACAAAAGTACGAACTAAATATCATGTGGGATCCATGATAATCTCTTAAATGCCTACAATAGTATCACAATATTGATAAAGAGAAGTGCCATAATCTAACAAAATAAGGAACTCTTGACATTTCGATGGCTAGAGTATTTCCAGCGGCATATATAAGATGGATTCCCTTTTCCAACAGGGTTACAGGAGAAAAATAATCAGTTTCAATGGGGGTCACACAGTACGTGTGTCCACTGTGGGAGTGGATTGTGATTTTTCTTAAGTGAAGGTCAAATAGAATTTTGATAGAAATGCACGTGTCGCATTCGTATTCTTATAATGATTTTGTATCCGTTGCTTCAAACATGCATTTAATACCATATTCTGCTCAGCATTCACGTCTGTAACTCGCTCGTTGACTGTGGCATAGTCCAAAGACAGATCGAGGAGACCAAGCTGTAATAAGAAGGAGATAAGTGTGTTATGTAATGGGTGTTAGAACTAAATGATAATCCTATTCAGATTCCATATGAAATCTTTTTGCAATAAGTAGTTAGTCTGTTTATGTTTGTTGCTGTTTTTTGTTGTTCTTCATTTAATACAGTGATAAACGGGATCATATATTCACATTTCCCTCTCTGTAATAGAGATAGAAAAAGAGAGATTGCAGAAAGAGTGATATGGATAAGTATTGATATAAGTAAATATAAATATATGTGTTTATACCTATATAATATGTAAATATATCTATATATATTATATGCGTGTATTTATGTGTGTAAGGGGGTATTACGTGTGTGTGTAAAAACCCAGTGACGTAATTTATACATCATTTGAATGATCTCTAATGAAAGAAAAACTGGCTCTTGAAAAAGAAGTGTAATTGAAGACGTTCGTTCAAGTGTGGCATTGTAGGTGTATCCTGTAATAAGATAATTTCTTAGGTATAGAATACATCAAAAGAACAGATACTGTATATTGATACCTGAGCAGATGATGAACCAAGATTTGAGGAAGTGTTGTGTTGTTTATCGACTGTAGCATACTCCACTGACGGATCCAGAGGCCCTCTCTACGAAATGAAATAAACATTGTATGGCGTGAGACCCCATCGTCTTCTGGTTTCAAGTTCACAATATGTATTTCTGTTTTTGCGTGTGTCTAAAATATCCTCAAAATATTTAGAAATTTTCCTACCAGCAGTAAAAAAAAAAAAACCTGGTATATTGTTTTATGGTATCGTCGAGTATGTACGTCAAAGTCCTTCATATTTTTGGAAATAAAGTACGAACTAAGTATTATGGGGGATCATCTCCTGGACGTGATTTTCTCTCAAATACCTACACTTGTATCACAATATTCATAAAGATATTTGCAATAATCTAACAAAAAAGTAAATATTTAGGTGGCTAGAGTAACTCAAACGGCGCATAGAGGAGTAACGTCTTGTTCGAAGCAGGGTAACAGGAGGTACATAGTCATTTCCAATGTTGGTCACACAGTACTAGTATCCACTGTGGGGGTACATTGTGATATTTTTCTTAAATGTGGGTCACAATGAATTTCGATAGAAATGCACGTTTCGCACTCGAATTCTAATAATGATTTTGTATCCGTTGCTTCAAACATGCATTCAATACCATATTCTGCTCAGCATTCACGTCTGTAACTCGCTCGCTGACTGTGGCATAGTCCAAAGACAGATCGAGGAGACCAAGCTGTGATAAGAAGAAGATAAGTGTGTTATGGAATGGGTGTTAAACTAAATGATAATGCTATGCAGGTGTCATGTGTTCAGTTTTTGCTATTACGAGTTTGCCTGTTTGTGCAGTTTTTTCTTCGTTTTTAATAGTGTTAAATGGAACATATGTTCATCTTTCCATCTCTCTGATCGAGAAAGAAAAAGCGAGAGAGAGAGAGAGAGAGGGAGAGAGAAAGAATCGATAAGGTTTGATAAGTAGATATGAGAATATACCTTCATAATGTATGTATATCTATTAATATGTATTAAATTTCCTATATATATATATATATATATATACTGATGTGTGATTGGTCAAAATGCTGTCACATGGCCATCGCTTCAAGGATGAAAAGCGTTATATTTTCCAACATGACGCAAATTACGTCATACCTCTGAATATATCGCCGTTATATCCAGAGGCATGACGTAATTTTAGTAATCCCTCAAGCACACACTACAAGTTCAATTCACTACACACCTACACCGCCGCTTCGCACACAAATACACGCATTAATTTCATGCAGCGCGAAATATGAAATTGCAACAAATTTATCTCGCTTCTCTTGGTGAGGAAGAATTGGACTAAAACTAATTGATGAAAAAGATTCTCGTTCTACTGAGAAAGTCATCAATGTAGCTGAGAATGTGCTGAAAGCTTACACTACAGCGAACACAAAGGATTCACATTTTTTTAAAGAAACAATTTGATCTATATAGCAACTGAACTGAGTAAGTTTCAATCATCGATCATGTTTATGCGGAGGTTTGTGAATTGAATAGTAAGCGTCTAGGATAACACTGCTATTAATAGACCTCTATGAATTGCAGATACATTTCTAAAAGATGAGTGCTTTCGGTTTTGACATTATAAATGACCTACAGCACCATTCACTTCGGCTAACATCATCACGCTATCCAGCTATTAGTCATAGTCATACTACAATTTAATAGCCCAGGACCAGGACCTGGCCCAAGTACTGCAGCTCTCGTGCGGGTAAAATTTCACACTTTCACAGATTTATTGACTGTATTGTGTTTTGTATCGAATATAGGTCATCATAATATAACAGATATTGACTTTTTCCTTCGGGAACAATATCACATTTCATTTCCTTTTATATGAAGCTATATTTTTGTCTCGGAATATATTTTTCCTCAGCGCTACGCGCTTTGGAAAAAAATAATATAATGTCCCTCGACAAAGATATAACTCCCTCGAGGATCTCAAATGTTATATTGCCCCTCTAGGCAGTCAATATCTGTATAATATTTTATGCATGTTATGTATGTATGTTAGGGGGTATTATGTGTGTGTGTAAATTACCAGTGATGTTATTTATACAATATATGAATAATCTCTACTTAAGGACAAACTGGCTCTTGT